AAGGACGAATCTGAGATAAGGGCTTATGAAGGGAAATGCCGATGCTTTAGCCAGAAGATGTGACAGGAAAAAATAGGCCTCTGAAATGTGATTTTTAAAGTAATCTAGGAAATATTTCTCAATCCACTTCTAGAATGTGTAATTTTTTGGCATTTCAAGGTCCTACAAATATATAAGGTTGGCGGCACTAGAAAAGTGTGGCTTGTGAAATTTCTATAGGGACCCTGAAAAGGGTCTACAAAGCAGCCAAAACAAAGAAATCTCTGGAAGTTTATATAGTATTTAGGCTTCTATTAGGGCTCTGGAAATTTTCTTCAACATCCTGTATCTTTTGTAAATGTTCTTTGTGTGTCTCTGAAATTAATTCTAAAGCATTAAAACCTGATTTTTTGCAAGCTGCAGTAGGCCTTTGGAAAGTATCATTTAAACACACTACGTAGATACATCAGACAATATTTCTCCAGTTCCTACAGATTTCGAATATTAATGGCATACACATTTTCCAAGACCATAAGAAACACTTCAAGAGTCTTACATGAAGACTTGTAAGACTCTTGAAGTGTTTCTCATGGTCTTGTATAAGATTTTCTGTAGGTCTTTGAAAATCATACTCAAGGTCATATAAAACGTGAAACTGCATAAGTCTCCATAAGTCTCTTGGAAAGAGGGATTTTTAAGACAGCCAGCATGTGTATTAACCACCACTATGAGACTTTTGTCCAGTTCGTAAAGAATTAATATTTTAAAGTCTTTTTGTTAGACTGTCCTGCATTTTTGGTAAGATTTCCTGTAGATCTTTGAAAATTTATGTATTCTTAATGTCTTTAAAAACTTTTATAAAAATCAACCACTAGGCCCGTAGGAAATTGGTAAGAAGGTAGTCAGGAATTTCTTCAAGCGCTGCTAAGACCCCTCTTTTAAAAAGAAAAAATAATTTTGAATTTGTAAAGGCTTAAATCCCACCTCAGATGAATGAAGATAGCGACACCAAGAGGAAAATGGTAACGCTAACTAACCAATGATTTCAACCACTCTAGGCCAAACACTAAATAAGCGAAGACGCTAACCACCACCAAAATTCATCTGATGCAATGTTTCTAGACAGCGATAGATGGCAGATCCAGCAGCTAGGTCAGGCTACAAAGATCTAGAATAAAAACAAAGAAACGATTAATGGAGAAAAAAATAGGCTTTTCAACCACAACTACAAGACATCTCCCAATATGTTGCATGTTCCAACCAAAAATTGGATTTGGATGGCTCTAAGGCTCGATGGCTTTCGGGTTCAAATCCCAGCGGTGGAGGAAATTTCTTTCAATGCGTTTTTTTATTGTTTCTAAATTAGATGTATCCGAAATAACATGACATTCTAATAACTAAACTCTACTTCAACACCACCACACAAAATGGTAATGGCTGGCTACAGCTCCATCCAGAGGAAAATGGTAACACAAGATAAGCAAGAATCCCAACCACTGCACAAAAATACAAGAATACATTGTTTCTATGCAACGCTAGATGGTATACCTATCATCTAGGTAATACTAAATTAGATATGGAACAGAAAAACACATTTTTTGATAACTACATTAGGCGTGGTCTTTTTAAAAGCAATATTTTTTGATAGCTACAATTGGTGTGGTTTTCTTTTTCGTTGCTTTTTCGTAGTAAGAGGGGTTTTCCGAGTGTGGGCAACCCATTTTTTATAGTTCCAAACACGGAAAATCAACGTCAAAAAGCTGCAAACACAACGGGTACCAGAGGCCTACTCCTCTCAACTTACCCACATGCTTGAAGAAAGCACTTCTTGTCCCGATAATAGTATAGAAGCACAATTGCAAAGAATTGCCGACTCCCTACAAACTGCAGCAAAAGCAACACTTGGGTACCAAAAACCACCATCAAGAAACCAATGGTACGATCAGGAGTGTCATAATGCTACTGACAGACAGTAGCAACACGTAATGCGATGGAGAATTATTGGGAGAAAAGAGGAGAGGAGAAGAAAAGAGGAGAGGAGAACAAGAAAAACGTGAGCAAATCGAGATGTACAGGAGGCAGAATGCAGTCCGGAAATTTTACTAACGAGTAAAACAACAAGTCGAAAGCTTTGTGGCAAGCACATTTTCCGGTAGAGATGAAGAAGGAAACCTGGATACAGCGCATTGAGGATCTGGATGGAGCATTTTGAAAAGCTTCTGGTATGAAATAGTGGCGGTGAAGCACCAATAAGATATGATGGTATAGAATGTATATCTTTAAACCAAGATGAGGTCAGAATTCGACATCCCTATCCGTTCACAGATGTAAAAAGTCATGACTGCGTTTGACATTCCTGCAAAATTAATACGGCTGTTCAGTATAACTTTATCTGACACAAGGTCAGCGGTTAAAGTCGGTAAAGACCTCTCGGAGCCCTTCAATACCGAACGAGGGTTCATACAAGGTGACAGCTTATCGTATGATCTTTTTAACATCCTGTCATACGAGACACCTAACAACACATGTTACACCTAACAACACATGTTACTCACCTACGGCGATGACATCGATATAATGGGTCGAACATTGCTAGCGGTAACAGCTAACTTTGAACGAATTGATAAGGAGTCTGCCAAAATATGGGGCTGACAGTAAATGGCGCAAAGATCAAGCTGATGGTATCAACGCGCAAGACGTCCAGTAGACTCGGACCAACTGTGGAAATTGAGAACTACATCATCGAGGCAGTTAAAGATTTTATATTCCTTGATAAAACGAAAGGCATCAGTTTTGAAATTCGGGAAGGATTGTCAACAGATGCTACTATGGTCTAAGTAAACAGTTTAGAAACAAGGCCACCTCCCGCCGGACCAAACTCACACTTTACAAGACGCTGATACTACCCGTGCTATTATATGGATCTGAAGCATGGGTACTTGCGCAAGCAGATGAGCCAGCTCTTGGGGTGTTTGATAGAAAAATTCTCCGAAAGATATACGGGCCAATCTGCGTCGATTGTGAATATCGGCGTCGAATGAACCATGAGCTTCACAATTTGTACGCGGACATCGACATAGTCAGTCGCATTGAGCTGCAGCGGCTACGGTGGATAGGCCATGTTGTGCGAATGAATGATAATGCCCCAGCTCAAAAGGAATATAAAAGCCAGCCTACTGATGGTTCTTTTTTAAGCTCGGATTATGGAACAACCGCTCTGTAACAAGTCAGCTAAGTAAAGTAAGTAAGTATGTCTGTTCTGAGACCTACTTCAAATATATTTCAAAGATTCACGCCTGTTCTGAGATCTCCTTAAATTATTTTTAATAAATTCTAAAAAATACACCGACGTCCCGCCCCGTATTTCATTCTTATTATTTTTCCAATCTTCAGAAAATATTCCCCAAATATCCTATACGTCCTCATGTCCAAATTTCCTGCCGATGTCCTCATATCCTGTTTTATATTTTTTATATTTATTTATTTTTGCTTTTTTGGTCAATGTTCGCAATCAATTTTTAACCAACCTTTCGGTGATTATTGTTTTCGAATACAAGGGCTGCCATAGCTGGGGTGTGGGTTGTGTTACTGAGCCAGAATCTGATTTGTTTCTACCTTTGTTTGCCCAAAAGGCTGGTAAGGAGGTTAACTATGTGTTGATTTTTTTTCTACACTGTCAGCTGTATATGTTTCTTCTTTCTACCCATCCTCCTCCCCGCAGGCTGAGGCTTGTAGTTTTTGACCCATGAAATTAGTTTTTGTTCTTCGGATTTGTTTTTCGCTTTTTCAGGTAACCCAAAAATTAATTTAATTTTTACTATTCGAAGGGAAATACCTCCCATACCCAAAAAAAATCCGCTTATTGTTATTCATGGATCCTCTTATTGTTATGTTGCTCCTGGAACATTTTGGTGGAAATGGAACTGTTAATTTTCGTTAAACAGCTATTGTGGCAAGGAATCCTCGGTTCTGATAATTAATTTGTCACAAAATCCGACAAAATATATGCAAATAATCAACATGCCTCCCAAGCTGCAACAACACTAACGAGTCATTTTTGGATTTTTCTTTATCTAGTTAAAGGTTTTCGTACTCTGGCCCCTTCCCATTAAAATCCTAGGATCAACCCTTTTTGGGGGTTGTCACACACACACACACGAACATCCTCTTAACACATTTATGGATATGAATAATAATTTTTGGTTGGCCACAAAAGCCACCACAAATACCTTTGTCTGTGAAAAAGAAGTAACATCCGAACATTCAACACTCCAACACCTCCTCCCATCCTACACTTCTCTCTCTCACACAATTTGGACCCCTGGTCGTTTTGCCACAGTTTATCCTCCAGGAGCTAGGTTATATCACTGTGGTGTGGTTAGAAATTCATATTCATAATTTTCCGAATTTTTTGTTCTTGTTGTTGTTGTCGTTGTTCCTATTTTACATTCAACAGAGTAATCGGATTTATTAAAAACCGCATAAAAGCCAAATTATCATTGGGTTTTGGGTTTTTAACTATCCGGCAAAATATTTTGTGTTGGTCTTTTTGGTCGGACTCTCTCCACCCCGCTTGGTGTTGTTGTTGTTACCTAGAGAAGAGGATTTAATGGTTTGCCAGTTTTCAAGGTGTGTGTGTGTGTGAGTGTGTGCTACAGAATTCGGGGGACTTTCATGCAAATTATTTAATTAACAAAAGGACTTTTTGGAAAAAGGTAATTTGGCAAAAATTTAAATTGCTTTGCAGCTTATAAATATTGTTGGCGGATTTTTATTCCGTTTTTGGCCACATAAGAGCTTTAACTTTAATTTGGTGATTGGCAAAAAAAAAAATAGAGCATATGGTTGGTCAATGGGGTCCTTATAAAAAAATAAATAAAATAACAACAACTGTAATTAAAAATGGTAAATTTAAAGGGATATAAAAAATATTATTCAAAGGATCCGCACGGAGGAGATTTATTAAAAAATATTTTTTGTAGGCTACAATAGGCGTGAATTTAATAGGCGTTATTTTAAATTTATTTGGTAACTTTTACTATAACACTTGTATTGCCTATAAATTCCTTCGCCGACTTCAGGCGTATATAGGTACAAAAAATAACCCTATACACATTCGGCAATACAAAGGCGGGTATATTAAATGTTGAGGGGTTCAAGGTCCAGAAATAGTTACCCTGAAATAAAAATATACAATATTCATTTAAATGTGTCTTTAATTGAAAAAAAAATAAATTAATTCAAACCCACCTTCATAACCGGACACTTCATGGGCATTGTGCCCTGCTGGAAAATACCTGAGGCCAAATCGGTTAAAAATTTACTTTGACTTTTACCAAATGATCGGCAGATATTGAAATCGTATTGCAATAGAGTACGATAGCTATTGGCTTTCGTATTGTTACGAACACCCAGCTCAACCATGGCCCATTGATCCTGTTTGAAGTCATGGGCCACCGATATGTTCAGATGTAGGCTGCCATTCGGATTGATTTTGGCCTCCTGGCCACTGTGATGTTTTGGGTTGAAGGTGGTCGCCACCGACACAAATTCGATTTTTTTCATTTCAATACATTTTAGAATTTCGAATAGTAAAATTATTTGGATTTTGAAATTCATGATGTTTTCGTCTTTGTTGTTGGTTTGCAAATATTTGATGACAACATTATTTTTTGGTGGTTAATAAATTTGTTTGTTTTTTGTTGTTAGTGGTATTAAGTGGACTTTTAAATTTATATTTTTAATTAACAACAAAGTAATTAATTGTGATAATCGCCAAAAGTGTGTTTCAAATTTAGAAATATTTTTATACCCTCCACCATAGTATGGAGGGTATATTAGTTTTGTTTTTCCGTTTGTAACGCATCGAAATAATCATTTCCGACCCTATAAAGTATATATATTCTTGATCAGCGTAAAATTCTATGACGATATAGCCATGTCCGTCTGTCCGTCTGTCCGTCTGTCCGTCTGTCTGTCTGTCTGTCCGTCTGTCTGTTGTAATCACTCTAGCGTCTAAACGAATGGAGATAGATCGCCAAAATTGTGCATAGAGTCGTCTTTTGTCTGCAGGCAGGTCAAGTTCGAAGATGGGCTTTATCGGTCCACGTTTAGGCATAGCTCCCATATAAGGGTACCCCCAAATTTTCGGTATTTTGGGGTTCTTGAGCGCGGTTTTCAACCGAATTCGCTGAAATTTGCTACATAGGGTTCTTATTGGGTACTTAATATCTCCACAAAAAATTATAAATATAGGTCCACTTTTTCTGGTAGCCCCCATATAAGGGTACCCCCAATTTTGCGGTATTTTGGGGTTCTTGAGCGCGTTTTTCAACCGATTTCGCTGAAATTTGGTATTTTGTAGTCGTATATGGTAACAAATCTCCCTACCAAAAATTATTAATATTCACCCCCTTTTAGGGGTAGTCCCCTTATAACCCCCTTTTTATACCCTCCACCATAGTATGGAGGGTATATTAGTTTTGTTTTTCCGTTTGTAACGCATCGAAATAATCATTTCCGACCCTATAAAGTATATATATTCTTGATCAGCGTAAAATTCTATGACGATATAGCCATGTCCGTCTGTCCGTCTGTCCGTCTGTCTGTCTGTCCGTCTGTCTGTTGTAATCACTCTAGCGTCTAAACGAATGGAGATAGATCGCCAAAATTTTGCATAGAGTCGTCTTTTGTCTGCAGGCAGGTCAAGTTCGAAGATGGGCTTTATCGGTCCACGTTTAGGCATAGCTCCCATATAAGGGTACCCCCAAATTTTCGGTATTTTGGGGTTCTTGAGCGCGGTTTTCAACCGAATTCGCTGAAATTTGCTACATAGGGTTCTTATTGGGTACTTAATATCTCCACAAAAAATTATAAATATAGGTCCACTTTTTCTGGTAGCCCCCATATAAGGGTACCCCCAATTTTGCGGTATTTTGGGGTTCTTGAGCGCGTTTTTCAACCGATTTCGCTGAAATTTGGTATTTTGTAGTCGTATATGGTAACAAATCTCCCTACCAAAAATTATTAATATTCACCCCCTTTTAGGGGTAGTCCCCTTATAACCCCCTTTTTTTTTATTTTAAAATAGTTAGCTGATGTTTTGCGGGTGTTGGGGTTATCCCATGTAGCTGTATTCCACCATAGTAGGGGGGTTATTCGGCAGACGAAATTTTCAGTTCACATTTTCTAAAGACCAAACAAGGCGTGGATTTATTAAAGAATAATTTTCTAAAGACCAAACAAGGCGTGGATTTATTAAAGAATAATTTTCTAAAGACCAAACAAGGCGTGGATTTATTAAAGAATAATTTTCTAAAGACCAAACTTAAAGAATAATTTTCTAAAGACCAAACAAGGCGTGGATTTATTAAAGAATAATTTTCTAAAGACCAAACAAGGCGTGGATTTATTAAAGAATAATTTTCTAAAGACCAAACAAGGCGTGGATTTATTAAAGAATAATTTTCTAAAGACCAAACAAGGCGTGGATTTATTAAAGAATAATTTTCTAAAGACCAAACAAGGCGTGGATTTATTAAAGAATAATTTTCTAAAGACCAAACAAGGCGTGGATTTATTAAAGAATAATTTTCTAAAGACCAAACAAGGCGTGGATTTATTAAAGAATAATTTTCTAAAGACCAAACAAGGCGTGGATTTATTAAAGAATAATTTTCTAAAGACCAAACAAGGCGTGGATTTATTAAAGAATAATTTTCTAAAGACCAAACAAGGCGTGGATTTATTAAAGAATAATTTTCTAAAGACCAAACAAGGCGTGGATTTATTAAAGAATAATTTTCTAAAGACCAAACAAGGCGTGGATTTATTAAAGAATAATTTTCTAAAGACCAAACAAGGCGTGGATTTATTAAAGAATAATTTTCTAAAGACCAAACAAGGCGTGGATTTATTAAAGAATAATTTTCTAAAGACCAAACAAGGCGTGGATTTATTAAAGAATAATTTTCTAAAGACCAAACAAGGCGTGGATTTATTAAAGAATAATTTTCTAAAGACCAAACAAGGCGTGGATTTATTAAAGAATAATTTTCTAAAGACCAAACAAGGCGTGGATTTATTAAAGAATAATTTTCTAAAGACCAAACAAGGCGTGGATTTATTAAAGAATAATTTTCTAAAGACCAAACAAGGCGTGGATTTATTAAAGAATAATTTTCTAAAGACCAAACAAGGCGTGGATTTATTAAAGAATAATTTTCTAAAGACCAAACAAGGCGTGGATTTATTAAAGAATAATTTTCTAAAGACCAAACAAGGCGTGGATTTATTAAAGAATAATTTTCTAAAGAAAGACCAAACAAGGCGTGGATTTATTAAAGAATAATTTTCTAAAGACCAAACAAGGCGTGGATTTATTAAAGAATAATTTTCTAAAGACCAAACAAGGCGTGGATTTATTAAAGAATAATTTTCTAAAGACCAAACAAGGCGTGGATTTATTAAAGAATAATTTTCTAAAGACCAAACAAGGCGTGGATTTATTAAAGAATAATTTTCTAAAGACCAAACAAGGCGTGGATTTATTAAAGAATAATTTTCTAAAGACCAAACAAGGCGTGGATTTATTAAAGAATAATTTTCTAAAGACCAAACAAGGCGTGGATTTATTAAAGAATAATTTTCTAGAGCAGTATAGTCGGACGGGGCCGACCATACGATACCCCACACAACTACCAAGGAAATCAAACTTATGCGCATTTTCATTCCAAGCCTGGGCAATATTTCGTGATAATTGCACCCTCTTGCCCGATTTGATTTCAACAGCACCTCTTCCTTACAATGACATTTTTCTCAATATTACTAATATTCTGTACAGCCGCCCCTCTAATTACTTGTCCAGATTCCCTTCACCGTGGGTGGTGTTGTGATGTTCGGTTTATAATTGTGGCCTATAGAGCGACTCGAAAAAAACACAAACTAAGTTTTTGGTCTAATTCATCCCGAAATTATTATCTGATCATCACCGAAAATTATAAGCGTTGTCCTTGACCATAACTGGAACCTAATGGAAAATTTCAAAACAATCAGTGCAATATTCCCACCCTTTAGTATGGTAATGGTTTACTAAATAATATCTGAATACGTAAGCACCTATAAATATTTGAGTGTAACTCCCATATCCATATATCCTTCTGGAGCAAATATGTTCGCCATAGAATACAGATTTTGTAATTTTTCACACAAAAGTCAGGGTTCATTTGACCCGCTAAATAATGACCGATCGTTATCAAAGCAGCCATGTACATTCTTTGACCCAATCCTCTTCTCCATGTAAAATTTCGCCATGTTCGGGTCATATTTGCGACCTCTAGAGCGACCAGAAAACCCGACAAAAATTAAGTATTTGGTCCATTTCATTCCCTAAATACTAACCGATTCATTGGCCAGAACCTATCCTACATGCAAAATTTCGTGAAGATTGGTCCATAACTGTGGCCTCTATCGTGTTTACAAATTATAATGGGCGGACGGACGGACACACATGTCTAGATCGACTCAGCTAGTCGAGATATGACGAACGGTATACTTAAAGGTGGATCTAAGATCAATATTTCGCGGCGTTACAAACTCTTGGGGCTGCACAAAGCTATGATACCCTGTCAACATAGTTGTGTAGGTATAACAAGGGGGAGAGGATAGTCAACAAAACATATTTTTTAATAAATCCACGCCAATTGTAGTCAACAAATATTTTTTAATAAATCCACGCTTTGAAAAAATTGTCATTGCCTATGTAGACCCCCATATATCCCCCCGGTTTGCCAAAATGTAAATAAAAATTTACAGCCTGACTTAATCTGATGCAAGTTTAGCCACTTCTTGGTTGGTCAGTCAGTCAGGCCATGACGAAATCGTAACCAACAACAACTGGTTGTTGGTCTAGCATTCATGCAATTTTCAAGTTTTTCTCTCACTCTCGTTTTTGTTGGCCGATTTGGATATTTGCTGGCGTTATCGTGGTGGTCAATGAGCTCCAAGCAGCATGCAGTTATGAATGGTCATTCATGACCGGTCCACTGACTGAGTGGCCTAGCTACCGGCCAAAAAGACTTGCAGCATTGTATAAGCAGCCTATAGCCGGGTAACTATTGGCTGCAGGTTGCTGCTAAGCACAAATTATTGCGACACTCTTTTGTTGTTATTGTTATTTATTGTTGTTGTAATTGTTTGGTTGTAGATCACTTTCAATGTTGTGTTTTTTCGAATTTATTTTTTGGAATTTTCCTTTGCAATGAATTGTAGTCTCTAGCTCTCTGTCTCTCTCGTTATCTTCTCTCTCTGTTAACTATTTGTTGTAATTGAATTCAATTTTTTTGGCAATTTTCTTAAGGCAATTCTTGAATTTTACAATATTTTCAATTTCAGTTATCTGGCGATCGGTCTGGTGTTAAGTTGACGGTTTCAAAACTAAACGGCTTAGAATTCGTATCGGAATAATTTATTTATTAAAAAAAAATTAAAAAATGTCATTGAGAATTATTTCAAGTATTGCCATTGTCCTATTTTGTTATTGTGTTCGGGTACAATGTCAGGAGAAATTCTTAACCGATCCGCGTAAGTGGTAATTGAGGCATGAAAAAAATTCTGAAAAAAAAATAATAATACAAAAATTATTCTCCGATAAATCCCCACCTATGGGTCCTTTAAAAAATTATTCCTTAATAAATCTCCACCTATGGTTCCATGGAAAAATTATTTTTTAATAAATTCTTTAATAAAAACCCAACTCTGGGTCCTTAAAAAATTATTCCTTAATAAATCCACGCCTTGTGGGTCCTTTAAAAAATTATTCTTTAATTAATCCCCACCTCTGGATTCTTTAAAAAAATTATTCTTTAATAAATCCCCAACTATGGGTACTTTAAAAAATTATTCTTTAATAAATCCCCAACAATGGGTCCTTTAAAATATTATTCTTTAATAAATCCGCACCTATGGATCCTTTGAAAAATTATTCTTTAATAAATCCCCAACTCTGGATTCTTTAAAAAATATTCTTTGATAAATCCCCACCTATGGGTCCTTTGAAAAATTATTCTTTTATAAATCCACGCCTCAGTTGGCCTTTGAAAATTATTCTTTAATAAATCCACGCCTCAGTTTGGCCCTTGAAAAATTATTCTATAATAAATCCACGCCCTGGGGTCCTTAAAAAAATATTCTTTAAGAAATCCCCACCTCTGGGTCCTTTAAAAAAATATTCTTTAAAAAATTATTCTTTAATAAATCCCCACTTCCGGATTCTCTAAAAAATGCTCCTTTAATAAATCCACGCCTTGTGGGTCCTTTAAAAAATTATTCTTTAATAAATCCACACCTTGAGGTCCTTTAAAAAATTATTCTTTCATAAATCCACAACTTGTGGGTTCTTTAAAAAAATATTTTTTAATAAATCCTTACCTTGGGGTCCTTGGAAAAATTATTTTTTAATAAATCCACCCCTTTAATAAATCCACCCTAATAAATCCACTCCTTTAAAAAATTATTCTTTAATAAATCCACGCCCTGTGGGTCCTTTAAAAAAATATTCTTTAATAAATCCACGCCCTGTGGGTCCTTTAAAAAATATTCTTTAATAAATCCACGCCCTGTGGGTCCTTTAAAAAATTCTTCTTTAATAAATCCACGCCTTAAGGTCCTTTGAAAAATAGTTTTTAATAAATCCACGCATTGAGATCCTTAAAAAAATTACTCCTTAACAAATTCACGCCTTTAGGTCCCTTAGAAAATTATTCTTTAAAAAACCAGCCCTGAGTCCTTTAAAAAAAATTCTCGAAAAATTCACGCCTTGTGGGTCCTTTAATAATTATTCGTTAATAAATCCCCCCTTGTGGGTCCTTTAAAAAAATATTCTCGAAAAATTCACGCCTTGTGGGTCCTTTAATAATTATTCGTTAATAAATCCCCCTTGTGGGTCCTTTAAAAAATTATTCTTTAATAAATCCACGCCTTAAGGTCCTTTAAAAAATTATTCTTTAATAAATCTACGCCTTGAGATCCTGTAAAAAATTATTCTATAATAAATCAACGCCTTGAAGATCCTTCTTTAATAAATTCCCGTCTTCTGGATCCTTTAAAATTAATTTTCTTTTATTTTTCCGAACTAAAATCCCCCCGAAACTAAAATTCTTTAAAAATTTATTAACACTTCTTCAACAGCAGATTACATCAAGTCATGCAAGATTGCGGCTAAGGACTTTGTTAATTGTTCGACGGAAAGTATACAAAAGCTGTTCGACAAACTGAATGATGGTGAGTGGGTCCCTAGGCAACCTTTAAAAAAAATCGAAAATTATTTTTTTTTCTAATATTTTTCCCAGGCATTCCCGGTCTGGATAGCATCAAAAGCTTCGACCCCTTCCTGCTGAATCGCATTAAAATCACCCAGGGCAATAGTAATGCCATTAATCTCAAAGTGGAATTGGCCAATGTACAGATTATAGGGTTCGGTCACACTCATGTGCTGGAGAGTATGTAAGTAATGATACGATGAAGAGATGGGGGTAGAGAGGAAAGAGAGAATCTAATATTTGAAATATGACCTCTCTTCAGTGTTTATCCCAAGGACTATAGCTGGAAGACCACATTTGTATTGCCCGTCATGAAGCTGAAGGGTGATTATAGCCTGTTTGGGCGGATTCTGCTGATACCGCTTAATGGTAGGGGTGAGGTGTTTCTGGATGCAGGTATGGGGAGGAAATTTGAGTTTTTGTTATTAATTTTTATATATTTTTTAAATTTGTTTTTCATTTTAGAAAACATGACAGTGGTAATGCGTACAAAGACCAAATTATATTCCAAAGGCGGCTTCACATTCTATAATGTCACAAATACCGATGTCGATTTCAAATTGGAGGGCCTGAAATCGTATTTCTCGAATTTGTTTAATGGGCAAAAGCAATTGGGTAAGAATGAGAAATAATTAAAAAAACCGCAAAACCTCAATTTAAAAAAAATTAAATTTAAAAAACAGTAAGGAAAGTAGTAAATTCGGACGACTATATGATACTCTTCACCACTACGGGTATATTAAACAGCAAAATTAACATGAAATTGGACGAAATAAAATATGCGATATTTACTTATATGTGATTGGACTAAATTCAGTACGCTATGCAATATTAGAACTTTGGTACATTATTTACATTAAATCGGACGAAAAAAATATATATATATATATATATATATATATATATCTGAGCCGATTTTCACGAAACTTAGCACACATCATTTCAGACTCCATTCATTACCCTATGGCAAATTTCGTGCAAATCGAAATATATTAAGGGACTTTTGTGCACCATTTACATAAAATCGAATGAAAATATATATGGGAGCTATATCTAAATCTGAACCGATTTTCACGAAACTTGGTAGACTTAACTTTAGGTTCAGTACCTTATGCTAAATTTCGTTTAAATCGAAAGTTATATAGGGACTGTTTACATTAAATCGGTTAAATATATATATGGGAGCTATATCTAAGTCTGAACCGATTTTCAGGAAACTTAACACACGTCATTCTAGACCTAATTCTCTACACTGTGCCAAATTTCGTGCAAATCGAAAGATATATAGGGACATTGGTGCACCATTTACCTTAAATCGGACGAAACTATATATGGGAGCTATATCTAAATCTAGACCGATTTTCACGAAACTTAGCACACTTCGTTCTAAACTTAAATCAATACGCTGTGTCAAATTTCGTGAAAATCGTAGGTTATATAGGCACTTTGGTGCACTATTTACCTAAATCGGACGAAAATATATATGGGAGCTATATCTAAATCTGAACCGATTTTCAGGAAACTTAACACACATCATTCCTGACCTAATTCATTACGCTGTGCCAAATTTCGTGCAAATCGAAGGCTATATAGGGACTTTGATGCACCATTTACATTAAATCGGACGAAAATATATATATGGGAGTTATATCTAAGTCTGAACCGATGTTCACGAAATTTAACACACATTGTTCTAGACTTAACTCATTACGCCCTGCCAAATTTCGTGCAAATCGAAGAATATATAGGGACTTTGGTGCACCATTTACATAAAATCGGACGAAACTATATATGGGAGCTATATCTAAATCTGAACCCATTTTCATGAAACTTAGCACACATCATTCTAGAGAGAATTCAGTACGCTATGCCAAATTTCGTTCAAATCGAAGGGTATATAGGGACTTTGGTGCACCATTTACTTAAAATCGGACGAAACTATATATGGGAGCTATATGTAAATCTGAATCGATATTCGCGAAACTTAACACACATCGTTCTAGATTTAGTTCAGTACGCTATGTCAAATTTCGTGCAAATCGAAGAATATATAGGGACCTTGGTGCACCATTTACCTAAAATCGGATGAAAATATATATGGGAGCTATATCTAAATATCGACCGATTTTCACGGAACTTAGCAGACATCACTATAGGCTCACTTTAGTGCGTTATGCGAAATTTCGTGAAAATTGAAAGATATATAGGAACTTTGGTTCAGCATGCGGATGAATATATATATATATATATATATCGAGTTATATCTAAATCTAAACCGATTTTTCCCAATTTCAATAGGGTTCGTCCCTGAGCCAAACAAATGAGCTGTGCCTAATTTCATACAATTCGGATCATAAATGCGACCTGTACTTTGTTTACAATATAACATGAACAGACGGACGGACGGTCATAAACTACTCAGAAAGTGATTCTATGCATATCCTCAAAAGGAACCATCTGTCTATCTCGCTTCCTTTTGCCTGTTAAAAAAATATGCATAAATACATAATACCCTGTACCACAGTGTGGTGAAGGGTAAACAAATCCAAGCATAAGAGCAACTGCAAAAATATTTTTAAACCAGTGAGCGGATCAGTGTAGTCGGACCGGGCCGACCATATAATACCGTACACAACTTCCACGGAAATCTAACTATGTGGTTCTATATTCTGAGCTTGGGCAATATTTCTCGATACTTGCACCCTGTTGACCGACTAGAGGTCAACAAATTTTATTAATATTCAGCACAGCCCCTCTGTGTATTGTGTTGGGATGTTCGACTTATAATTGTGGCCTATAGATCGACTCGAACGAACGGTCCACGTCATTCCAATATTAATATCTGATCATCACCGGCGTTGTCCTTGACCGTACCTGGATCCTCATGGAAAATTTCAAAACGATCAGCGCTATATATTTGCCCTCTAGTTCGGTAATGGGTTACTAAATAATATACGTAATACGTAAGCACCTGTAAATATTTAAGTGTAACTGCAACATCCGAGTGTATACGGCAATATAATTGGTATCGATTTAAAGGACAACCACTTCTCTCGAATATACTCTCTCGGATCTATGTCCTTCAGGGGCAAATATATACGCCATAGAATACAAATTTTATAATTTTTCACACAAAAGTCGGGGTCCATTCGACCCGCTAAATATTGGCCAATCTATATTCAAACAAGTATGCTTATTCTTAAGCCTATCCCATACTACATGCAAAATTTCGTGAAGATTGGTCCATAACTGGGGCCTGTATCGTGTTTACAAATTATAATGGACAGACGGACGGACGGGCATAGATGTCTAGATCGACTCAGCTAGTCGAGATATGACGATCGGTATACATGGAAGCATATTGTATTTTCAAAAAATATATTTCTCATCCATTTTTTTTTTCTTGTTAATCCTTTTCACCCCCCTTCTTCCAGAGGACAGTACAAATAAATTCTTCAATGACAATTGGCGCATGTTAACCGATGCCCTCTACACGGTGATTACACAAACCATCGAAGATATTCTCTTGGATGTTCTGCGGAAGATTTTCCATTTTATACCGGCGAATTTCTTTGTCGAAGATATCCCAACACCGGAACAATTGTATGGCAGCAAACAGAAGTCGGGAAAGAAAATTTAATGGAATATCCTTTCAAGGATGTGTTGAAGGATAAACATCCTTTATTGTACACGTCAATTAAGATGTTTATTTTTAATTTTAAGCAATTTGTATATATACTTGTAAATATACGATAATTTTCCCCCAATAAAATAAAAGAGGACAGAAAATAAATTTTCTTGTTAATTTGGTAAATTTTAAGTTTTGCAGAATTCTTATGACCTTTCCCCACAACCCTCAGAAACGCCATTCGTGCCATTGCAGCTGACATTAATTTGTTTACTTCTGCAATTGGCTGAAATGGGTTTTCAAACCAAACACCAACGATCAATTAAGTTCTTATCCACAAAAATCGGTAATGCCAGTCAGGATAGAGACATTTGCTATTTGGCGAGTGTGCTCAGCCACTGAACCAAATTGTATTCAGTATGGCAATGTGAAAAGTTGGAGGATAAGTAATGAAGGGCAGAGATGGGCAACAGATGGAACGCCTAGGGTAACATAAAATAATATGAGGCCTACACCGCTCAACTTACACACCTGCTTGACGAAAGCACTTCTTGTCCCGATAATAGTATACAAGCACAATGACAAAGAATTGCCCACTCCCTACAAACTGCAGCAAAAGCAAATCTTGGGTACCAAAAACCACCATCAAGAAATCCATGTCACGATCAGGAGTGTCGTAATGCTACTGAAGTGAAAAATGCAGCGTTCAGGACAACCTTGCAGACAGTAGCAACACGTAATACGATGGAGAATTATCGGGAGAAAAGAAGAGAGGAGAAACGTATTTTCAGAAAAAAGAAGAAAGAACAAGAAAAACGTGAGCGTGAACTAATCGAGATGTACATAAGTCAGAATGAAGTCCGGAAATTCTAACAACGGGTAAAACACCAAACGGAAGGCTTTGGCGCAGGCACGTCCTCCTGTAGAGATGAAGATGGAAACCTGGTGACAGATACAGACAGCGTGTTGAGGATCTGGAAATATCATTTTGAAAAGCTTTTGGAAATAGTGGCGGTGAAGAAAATACTCCAGAACCCCGAATAAGAGATATAGAGTGTATACCACCTAGCCAAGATGAGGTCAGAGTAGCAATTAATCGGCTGAAGAACAATAAAGCAGCAGGTGCCGACGGGTTACCAACCGAGCTATTCAAGACTGGTGGTCAGATGCTGGTAAGGAGCATGCACCAGCTCATATGTACAATTTGGCTAGAGGTATGCATTCCCAATGTCGGGAACCTACGCATCCTGTGTCCCGTGCACAAAAAAGGAGACCAGACGATATGTGGAATAAGTCTCTGAGGAATAAGTATCCTTCCCATCGCATATAAAGTGCTATACAGTGTGCTGTGTGAACGAATGAAGCCAATGGTCAATGACATTATTGGACCATACCAATGCAGCTTTAGGCCTGGCAACTCCACCATTGACAAGATTTTCACATTGCGCCAGATCCTAAAAAAAACCCACGAAAAACACATCGACACATTCCACTCAATTCGTCGATTATAAAGCCGCATTCTACAGCCCTATCCGTTCAGAGGTGTTTAAAGCCATGCCTCCATTTAGAATTCCTGCAAAATTAATACGGCTATGCAGGATAACTTTAAGTGGCACAATGTTAGCAGTTAAAGTAGGAAAGGACCTATCGGAGCCATTCAATACCGAACAAGGATTGAGACAAGGTGACAGTTAGTCGTGTGACCTTTTTAACATCGTGCTGGAAAAGGTCATACGAGACGCAAAGGTGAACAGAAATGACACTCTGTACACCAAACAACACATGTCACTCGCCTACGCCGATGTCATCGATATAATGGGTCGAACATTGCGTGCGGTAACAGCCACCTTTGAAGGAATTGAGAAAGAGTCTGCCAAAGTGGGTCGGCAGTAAACGGCGAAAAGACCAAGCTGATGGTATCAACCCACAAGACGTCCAGTCGACTCGGACCAACTGTGGAACTTGAAAACGACAGCTTCGAATAGGTAGTGAAGGATTTTATATACCTCGGTACCGCCATAAATAAAACGAATGTCATCAGTTTTGAAATTCGGAGAAGGATTGTGATGGCCAAAAGATGCTACTATGGTCTAAGTAAGCAGTTTAGAAACAAGGCCACCTCTCGCCAAACCAAACTCACACTCTACAAGACGCTGATACTACCCGCGCTGTTATATGGATCTGAAGCATGGGTACTTGCGCAAGCAGGTGAGACAGCTCTTGGGATATTTAAGAGAAAAGTACTCCGAAAGATCTATCTGCGTCAATGGTGAATATCGCAGTCGAATGAACCATGAGTTGTACCAGCTATTCTCGGACATCGACATTGTTAGACGTATTGAGCTGCTGTGACTACATTGGCTAGGCCATCTTTTGAGAATGGATGAAGATGCCCCAGCTCAAAAGGCATATAAAAGCGAGCCAAGTGATGATTCCCGCAGAAGGGGAGAGCCACGAATCCGATGGAACGATCAAGTAGAAGACAACATCTCGGAAAATGGTATTTCAAATTGAATGAGATGCGCACAAGACCGACGAGCCTGGAAATCTTTTTATACCCTTCACCACACTGTGGTACAGGGTATTATGTCTTTGTGCATATGTTTGTAACAGGTAAAAGGAAACGAGATAGACACATAGTTCCTTTTGAGAATATGCATAGAATCAGTTTCTTAGTCGATTTATGCATGTCCGTCCTTCTGTTGGAGTTAAATTGTAAACAAATTACAGGTCGCATTTATAATCCGATATGGATTAAATTTGGTACAGCTCATTTATTTGGACCAAGGACGAAACCTATTGAAATTGGGGAAAATCGGTCCAGATTTAGATAAAGCTCCCATATATATATTTTCGTCCGATTTAATGTAAATTGTGCACCAAAGTCCCCATATATTTTTCGATTTGCACGAAATTTGGCACAGCGTACTGAATTAGGTCTAAAATGATGTGTGCTTAGTTTCGTGGAAATCGGTTCTGATTTAGATGTAGCTCCCATATATATTTTCGTCCGATTTAAAGTAAATGGACCACCAAAGTCCCTATATATATTTCGATATGCACGAAATTTGGCATAGCGTAATGAATTAGGTATAGAATGATGTGTGTTAAATTTCGTGAACATCGGTCCAGATTTAGATATAGCTCCCATATATATTTTCGTCCGATTTTATGTAAATGGTGCACCAAAGTACCTATATATCTTTCGATTTGCACGAAATTTGGCATAGCGTAGTATGATGTACGATAAGTTTCGTGAAAATCGTTCCAGATTTAGATATAGCTCTCATATATATTTCGTCCGTGAAAATCGGTTCAATGAAATGAAATTTAGCATAAGTTGAAGAAAGACATAAAGATCACATATTCAAATTCGTTCAATTTCATGCCAATATTATTTCGAAAATGCGGAGTCTGTTAAGAGACATATGTAGAATATACCCAAAGTGGTCAAGGTCAGCCCATTTCCGACTTTACGACTTTCCTTACTGGTTTAAGTTCGGCTTATGGAACAACCATTCTGTCATAAGCCAGCAAAGTAAGTAAGAAATCCACTCCTTACAGGTCCTTCAAAAAAAAAAATTTTTATTAAATCCACGCCTTACAGGTCCTTCAAAAAATATTTTCTTAATAAATCCACGCCTTGCAGGTCCTTCAAAAAATATTTTTTAATAAATCCACGCCTTGCAGGTCCTTCAAAAAATATTTTTTAATAAATCCACGCCTTGCAGGTCCTTCAAAAAATATTTTTTAATAAATCCACGCCTTTGGAGGTCCTTCAAAAAATATTTTTTAATAAATCCACGCCTTTGGAGGTCCGACAAAAAATATTTTTTTAATAAATCCACGCCTTGCAGGTCCTTCAAAAACTGTTCTTTTATAAATCCACCCCTTGCAGGTCCTTCAAAAAATAGTTTTTTATAAATCCAAGCCTATGGATGTCCTTCAAAAAATATTTTTTAATAAATCCACGCCTTTGGAGGTCCTTCAAAAACTGTTCTTTTATAAATCCACGCCTTGCAGGTCATTCAAAAAATATTTTTTTATACCTCCAAGCCTTTGGAGGTCCTCCAAAAAAAATTTTTTTTTTTAAATCCCCACCTTTCAAAAAATATTTGTATTTTTCCCTTTGCTTGCCCATCTCATCCCATTATCCGTTGTGGTGATTCAAAACGCCATATAATCGAGGGTTGTTGCGATCCGCATGTTTTAACTGCCACCAAAAATATGTGTGTTGTACTTTTAAATGGCCTTAACCACAAATACAATGAGACCGTATGTGTTAAATTAATTGCCCTGTTTCCGTTTTTAAGTTGATGGTCGGTTGGATGGCTGGGCAGGATGGCCTGCCCCGGCCAGGATGTTCGGTAATATGGCAGCATGTGAATTTTCGTTAGTAATGCAAGGTTGTTATGTTGTTGCCATAACGCTGTGGCGCTTTTAAGCCCATCTCGTTGGCAACCAGTGTGTGTGTCCGTGAGTAGTCATTCCCGTGTGTGTGTTGGTGGTCACTTGAAATGTATATGTCCGTCGACGTTTTTTAATTGTAATTTTTACAGCAATTAATTTATTTTATTAAACAGTTATTTCTAGACCAAACGAATGTTGTTATCCTGGTCCTGGTTTTTTGTTTCGGCTGGAATGTCGTGTGGTGTTTGTTGGTTGGTCGTGGGTTCTCCGAGTACATTTTATGTGAATATTTTATGGCTTACAATTTTTGTATTATGTCCTACGCGGGACTACATTTTGTTGTTTCGTGGTAGTGGTGGTGGGTGTCGTGTAGTGCGGTGTCGGAATGCATTTAATTTCCATGTCCGGATTGCAGTTCAGTGTAGTGTGTGTGTGTCGTTTCGAAAATGTTTTGTGGTTTTAACGTGATTTTCGTATTGGCTGAGCTTTGGTCAAAAACAAATTTATTTAGATTAATTATTTTTTTTTCATGCACACATGTATATGTGTGAGAGTGTGTGTGTGTTTTTGTAAAATGAGTTTTGTCATGTAAATAAAATATA